GATGACTCAAGCAACCAGTGGTCAGGGCTGCAGAGACAGGAACCTCCTCACTATGCGTGCGGTTTCTAAAATAACCGCCTTTTGAATCGGACCCTTATTCCAAATGTCTAGCGAGAACTTCTTAAGATGTTGGTCGAAGCCCTTCGCTATTAACTATTATTATAATATTTATTACTATTGTATTTAAAAGTTATAAAGATTGGCGTTAAAATTAAATTACTCATTATTATATTTTCAATTATAGCTTGGTTATTAAACCATAAATGTTTCAAATAAAACCATTTTAAAGTATAATCGAATTATAAAAATATTTTATAAAGAAAACATCACTGCATAAACACTTAGATAAACATTAATAAACTTCCAAGACGATCCAAAACGACGTATAGAGCCCATAAAAAGCTACAATATGGCAGCTAACAGCGTTATCGTATACCATTCGTGTGGATTCGTTAACACTCAGCATCAGCTCTCACGATTTACCGAGATTTTTCTCTCTCCGTATACAATTTTTCGTTGAAAGCTTTTTCATACCAAACATATTTAGATGTTTGGAAGGCAAAATGTACTTTTATATTTTACTTGCGAGCGAAATGCTTAATATTTTTATTTGTACATTTTTATTATGTCACACAATTTATTAGGATTTACATTAAAATGTTTGGAAAAGTGAACGTTACTAGTTTAAGAAATGATAACATAATCAGTATGTACTCAAATATGTTTGGATACATTCATATTTTCATATTCACAGGAAATATCCATACATAGTTATATCTAAATTAGGTATTTCCATATAAGATTAGGAGATCAAAAGGTTTCAGGAAATACCAAAATATAAACTCAACGAAAAATTTCAATTCCTGTTTATTTAAGTGTAATTATTTGTTATTAGGTTGAACTGACAGCAAACCATTCAGAAATAGCAAAAAATGGCCTAAGAAGATTATGGGGTGTTCCCGACACATCGGCCTACGTGGGCCATCTGTTCCGTATGGAAATACCCAAAGAAGCTTTCTCCGGTGACGTCGTAGCTTACAAGGTTCAAAATTGTATTTGACATCAAAACCTTCATAATTTTTAATTTAATCCAATCCTAACCTTAAACATTTTTTGAGATAAAAAAAAACTGAACATTTGTGGATTTTTTACAATATTTCTTTACTTTATCTCACACAAAATAACTGAAAAAGATAAATAGTCACCACCATGTATGGAATTTAACATTCATTTTTTATAAAAGAAGGGGGCAAGTGAGTGGCGGCAACATTAAGGTGATCAAAGTCCCACAATAACTACAAATGTGTGCTAGTGATAGCTAGTGATAGTTTGTTTGC